TCTGCTATAGCCTATGTTACTCAGGGATAATGTAGCATTCTAATAATTAAAGAATTTATGAAATCAGTCCAATAGTTTTTGAGTTTATTCGTTTCAAACATACAAAAATATAAATCCTCTTTACAATAAAATTCTTTGACCTTCCTCTTTTTAATAAATCATCGTATTTTTGACCACAGTCAGCTCTGCTCTGCCCATCACTAGTCCCAACTAACTGAGTTAGCCGGCGCACAAGCGCAGCGTGTTAATTATTGAGCCCGCTTGCAGCTCAACTTTGGTGTTTAACAGCGATTAACTGTTTGAATGTTTCAGTTTAGCCAGCAGTTAGACGGGATTTCGTCTGAATTCGCATTTTAACGCGGACCAGAGGGTAGCACAGATTTGATAGTCAATTACGGAGTTTGCACTTTATGCATTTAGTCAGGACTAACTTTAGCCAGTGGATTTTAAGCGGGCGAAAGGCTTTGGGCCTTATTACGAAAAGTTAAACACACGTTGAACATTGGTTTAAAATGCCATTTCCATACTAAATGACAATGTACACAAGTATTTAACTTTTTGTAGTAAGCCCTTTTGTCTTTACCTTCACATCTTCCTAACTAAAGTAGTCACATTTTGGGTCATCATTTTTTCCTGTTACTAAAAGAGACGTTTTACAAAATATTTAGTCACTATAAAGCTGTGCGTTGCCGATTCTTGCAACTCAAGCAGTCTTATTCATGCCTAAAAAGGAAAAGTGTCAAAATTGTCATTCTATCATCCGCTTTGCACTGCAGTCCACTGAAGGGAAGTTGATCTTTAACTTCGAAATTCCTGAAATTTTGTTTTGATTAATTTCGTTGCTGGTGCAATGACAGTTCAACTTTTCCATGGGACCTTTACTGGTTTTGTTAAACTTCTTGAAAATAAACAAAAGCCTATCAATAAAACTTCAGTAGCCAATAATTTAGAGACTGACGTGTACCAAACATGGCGGCTCATGGTGAATTCAGCGCGGCTGATTATGCGTCCCGGGATCGGTTCCCGTTAATAACAACCGATTGGGGATACATTATCAATGATACATTGTAGCGTTCAGGAATAAGATCAATAACGTTGAATTAAATTCTAAGAAATGTATGTTATTTGTCAAAATAGTGGCGTGGAACATGGCTTGTCTTAGGCCGGGTTGCACCATCTTACTTCAACTTTAACAAACGTCCAAAATGTTAAACTCCACACAAAAAATTCAAAAAACGGCTACCGCAAAGCCAGTATGGTATGAGGATAACTTCGTATCGTACTTTAAACTCAACTAAATGTCATTCACTCTAAATACATATTAAAGCGCAAAATTATAAAATCAGTCCGTGGCGAGGGAATGACGCTAAAAGCTCTAGACTCTTTTTCAACTAAAGAAAATCAAATTATTGTTTATTGAAACCGCAAAATATTAATAGAATTTGGTGTAATATACATTTAAATAGATTATTCGTTAATTAAAACAAAGGATAAAGTTGATGTTTTTATAAATGTGGGTCCCAAAACACAAACTTTTGGAGTACGGACATGCCTAGGGAATGACGTTTTGGGTCATTCAAAAGGAATTTAAGATGTTTTAAAAACAGTTTCAAAAAATATAAATGGGTGATGAATAAAGCACATTGCGAGCTGTTATTTAACAATTTTGGAATAAAATATTAACAAATATTTCATGTGAAATGTGGCGCGGACTAAGAGTTGACATATTTTTGTGGAATGACCCCTATAAGTCACCGAAATAAATGTAATATTATTTCGGTGACTTATAGAAGAAAAATGAAAATCAATAATAGGAAAAAAAAAATACCCAACTAAATTAAAATTAACTCATGACAGAAGTTACTTGTTTGTTGTATTGTAACTTGTATGTGGTATCATTAGGTACTACTTTATAGCACTTTCCTGTTGGTTTCAAAGGGCTATCAATCAGGTTTCATAGAGTTAGTAAAACATAACTTATACTTAGGGTTGGTATGGAGGTTGTACAGAAAGAAAAGGAAAAGTATTGAAACATTTACTTGGTGTGGAGCTTCATCCAAAATCGTAGCAGAGAGGTCCACCAGCTTTTAAACACACACAAGGAACCATTACATGAGACATGTAATGGTTCCTTAAAACTTCAAGCCCCATGAATCGAGACACAATAGATATTTTATTGTTATGCGGTCACTTAGGGATTGATGGGTTAAGGGCATAACTGTTCTTTTTTTTAAAGAGTTGGCCATTTGTAAATCATTACTGATTAAAGCTATCTATTACATATTATATTACTTTTTTACTTTATCTTTGGTCTCAAGGTATCAATATTTGAAAAGACGTGTGAGAGAACCAAGCTTACTCTCACTGCTTCTGCTACTGACCAATCTTAGCAAGTATGTTAATGAGACATAAGTCAATTTATTTATTTATTTCATTATTTTATTGGGCAATTCAGGTGCTAGTACAATCAGTGTCAAATAGGTTGTGACACCCAAAGTTTGCAACACATCTTTGTCACAATTATTGAAAGCCTGTAAACCTTTGAAAAAGAGGCTGACAATAGTGTCTGAGTGTCTTGCGCTGCTTCTTCTCAGCACTGGGCCATTTATTGTCCTGAAGCAGTGGTAGGGTTAATACTGGGAATAATACAGTGTAAAAGTGCTTTTTTAAAGCCTACTTACAGAAATAAATGAATTTTACTGAGTTTTTTATAAGGTTGTGTTGTCAACTTTTTGGGCCCTACTTTATGTGTCACAAAGTATTTGACACTGACTGTACCTACTTGTTTATCAATGTACAAATTGCACCAGTGGGTTCTTTATAAATGTTTGTTGGATATCTTCTGTCAGTCAGTATTTCACTTGCCATTAGAAATATCTCCTATTCATTTGAAAATAATATAATATCATTACATCTATATAAGAAAGTCGTGTTAGTTACTCCACTTATAACTCAAGAACGGCTGAACCGATTTAGCTGAAAATTATCAGGGAGGTAGTTTAGAGCCAGGAGAAGGACATAGGATACTTTTTATCCCGTTCGAAATAAAAAAAAGGCTGCTTATTTATTGCCATTAAGGCGGAACAAAGTTCGCCGGGTCAGCTAGTTATCTATATTTAAATATTATTTAATGTTTAATAATTTATCATATTTATTGTAGGGTGGAGCGCCGCATACGTATTGGCGCGCTCACATAAAAACCGCGTTCGGTGCGTTTCTATGTTTTATACAACGTGTCCCAAAATTCAAGGATAAGCCGGCGCCGCAGGGTGGACATAGTCATGACTACNAAATTTTGTTTTGATTAATTTCGTTGCTGGTGCAATGACAGTTCAACTTTTCCATGGGACCTTTACTGGTTTTGTTAAACTTCTTGAAAATAAACAAAAGCCTATCAATAAAACTTCAGTAGCCAATAATTTAGAGACTGACGTGTACCAAACATGGCGGCTCATGGTGAATTCAGCGCGGCTGATTATGCGTCCCGGGATCGGTTCCCGTTAATAACAACCGATTGGGGATACATTATCAATGATACATTGTAGCGTTCAGGAATAAGATCAATAACGTTGAATTAAATTCTAAGAAATGTATGTTATTTGTCAAAATAGTGGCGTGGAACATGGCTTGTCTTAGGCCGGGTTGCACCATCTTACTTCAACTTTAACAAACGTCCAAAATGTTAAACTCCACACAAAAAACACCGGTTATGGTTATAATAGTCACGGTTAAAATAAGGTGGTGCAACTCAGGTTTAGAATCATCCTTTAATTGTAAACAATTTAATGTATCTAGGACACATTTTGTATGGAATGGAATACATTTTTATTAAACACTAGCTTTTGCCCGCGGCATCATCCGGGTGAAATTTAGTTTGTCACAAAGAGTAACAAACATCCATCCAGACATCCATACAATACATCCGAACTTTCGCATTTATAATATTAGTAGGATAATTCAGTTGGACTTAATATGAATACTTTCTTATCTAAAAATAAATGAAAGTTTACACTAGACAATTATCTTTACGTTAGATTAAAAATGGAATTAACCTCGAACGTCGTCCTCATTAACCACTAAATAATTCTAATTAAATCTTCTAATTAAACTTATCCTTACTATGTAGCATGTAAATGTGGGGTTTAAGTTCTAGATTACATGCATTTGTCTCTTCAAAGTGTAAGCAGTGACTTGATGAAGTTTGTCTAGTTTGAATTTAATTTAGGAGTTCAATAAGTGAAATGTCAACAGAAGGTATGGCGATATTAAAATTTCTTAGCGAATAGAGTCGCTTCTCAAACTAAATTTTAAATAAACAAAACAACTTGAAAAAATCGAACTAAAACGCGGCCATAACAGCGTATTACACTTGAAAATTTCGACAGGTTCATCCAGTGTCTAAGTAGCTCAGTTGGAAGAGCCCGGCAAGCGGAAGGTCGTGGGTTCGAGTCCCGCCTTAGGCAGTTTGATTTTTTCAAGTTGTTTATTTAAAAGAAGGTATGGCAATCTAAAATCTTTTCAAATCCTAATCTTTTCTGTTAGAATCATACGACAGGCGGAGAATGTAGCTATCCGTTAGGGCAGATAAGTTCTCGAATTGCGACCACCAGAAGACGTAGTATAACGGGACTATTCCCACCTCTCGTTCCCACCGCTGCAACTCCTGTGTAGCCAGGATCTACAGCTTGACCGCCAGAAGTCGTAGTGTAGATAGGCCTTCCATTCGGCGGGCCAAAGATCTGGTGAGGGTGGCGTAGCACAGGACCGGTCGGTGTGGAAATCCTTGACCAACCTTTGTCCAGCAGTGGAAGTCTTTAGGTTGAGAGTGACTGAGTTTCTTGCGCTGCTTCTTCTCAGCACTGGCCCATTTATTGTCCTGAAGCAGTGGTAGGGTTAATACTGGGACGTGTAAAAGTGCTTTTTAAAAGCCTACTTGCATAAATAAAAATAACTTTTTTAAAAGAAACAACCTGTACTAACAATATAACCTTTGTCCGCAGCGGTTACGGAACGCGTCAGTACGCCGTCCAGCATACCACCTTGCAGTACACCGGGCCCGGTGACGTCGACGCCAAGCCTCGTGACGACGGCGACGGCGACGCCGACCGCCGCGGTCACCGTCACGGCCGTCACGACGGTCGCCAGTGCGCCGAGCGGCGCGTGCGCGGTCTGTGGAGCGCCGAATGCCACGCGAACAGTTTCAAGAGCGCGTGCGGCACATTATGGACTACAAGTGAGTATTGACTGTTTACTTTAACATTTCAGTCCCTCTAGAGTCTAGACAGTTGGATGCTTTTAGAAGAATCTCAAGCACATAAGAAATAATATAAGCTAGTTCTTTAGCCTCTCCACACAGAACATTCGTGATAGTTTTCACTCCATGAAGCGAAATTACTACGGAGTGAACTTTGTCTACGTGTGCGTTACAAATTCTATTCAGACTCAGATTTTTTCTTTAACCCTTAACCAGGCTTAAAAAAAAAGTAATTGGTTTTCAACCCTATCTTCACAGCATAAAGTTCAAAATTGATGTGGACTCTGTGGATACCAGAGCCTGGTTAAGGCTAATCCGGCTTTGTGGGCCCCCTGTAGCTGGAGAGCCCCGTATCATTTTTACGGCGTTAGCTACGCCCATGAATCTTGTCGTGTCGACAACAAACCTATACAGTGTCTGCTCAAAACTCCGCTACAAGAGTGGCGTTGTCAGTAGCATTAATTAAATCTGCGTGCAGTTGTGACATCATGAAATGTGTTTCATCGTGTGGGGAACAAAACCGCGTGAATGTACCAATTTTTCATTTGTTTCCCCCAGGAGGAGGCAGCAGGCGCGCGAGTATGCGAGCCGTGCCACTGCCGCTGCGTGCGGTCGCGCTACACGCGCTGCCCCGTGCCCACGTGCCCGGGCCCGCGCGTGCGCGCCAAGCGCCTGCGCCACCTGCCGCCGCGCTGGCACGACCTCAGCCCCGCGCTCAAGCGGCCATTGTTGGAGGAGCTGCGTAAGTGCCTAGATACGTAAAAGCCTAAACACTTCCCATAGGACAGAGCAGGACCAGAAGACTTTACAGGACTGAGATGAGCAGAACGAGAAGGCTTTTTGGGCTCCCGAAAATGGCCTGTCTATAGTCGCCAGTGGGCTATCCACACTCGCGAATAGGGTATCCATACCAGACTGATTACTTAATTCACCTGGCACGACCTTAGTCCCGCGCTCAAGCGGCTGTTGTTGGAGGAGCTGCTTAAGTAGCCTAGACACTTATAGGTCTTACAGGTCAACTGAAGAGCCGGATAATCTAGCTAGTTCAACAAGAAAACCTTCGCAACTCGCTCAAGCGACTACCATTGGAGGTGCTACGTAAGTGGAGCAGTCTAGATACTTCCCATAGGACCGAGCAGGACGACAAGGCTTCACAGGACCGAGCTGAGAAGGACGACAAGGCTTTACAGGACCGAGCTGAGCAGGACGAGAAGACTTTTTGGGCTCCAGAAGATGGACTATCCACACTCGCAAAGGGACTTCCCACACTCGCAAGTGGCCTATCCACACTCGAGCCGTGCCACTGCCGCTGCGTGCGGTCGCGCTACACGCGCTGCCCCGTGCCCACGTGCCCGGGCCCGCGCGTGCGCGCCAAGCGCCTGCGCCACCTGCCGCCGCGCTGGCACGACCTCAGCCCCGCGCTCAAGCGGCCGCTGCTGGAGGAGCTACGTAAGTGAAACAGTCTAGATACTTCCCATAGGATTGAGCAGGACAAATAGTCTATCCATCCAAATAGGCTGACTCGCAAGTGACCTATAGGTACTTGAGCCGCGCCATCTGCCGCCGCGCTGGCACGACCTCAGCCCCGCGCTCAAGCGGCCGTTGCTGGAGGAGCTACGTAAGTGAAACAGTCTAGATACTTCCCATAGGTCAATGTTTCACAGGTCAATAGAAGACCTGGAAGCTAGCTAATTCAGACGGACGGCCTGAGACACCTGCTCAAGCGCCCGCTGTTGGAGAAGATACGAAAGTGGAGCAGCCTAGATATTTACAGCTCTTACAGGTCTAGCGAAGAGCCGGACAGATCAGCTAGTTCAGCTGGTCGAAGCGCTCCGGGCTCAAGCGCCCGCTTTCGCTGAAGCTGCTTGAGTGTAGTAGCCTCGATATATCCCATAGGTCTCACAGGTTAACCGAAGACCTGGAAGCTAGCTAATTCGGACGGACGGCCTCAGACACCTGCTCAAGCGCCCGCTGTTGGAGAAGATACGAAAGTGGAGCAGCCTAGACACTTATAGGTCTTACAGGTCAACTGAAGAGCCGGTCAAGCTAGCTAGTCCAACAAGAAAACCTTAGCAACTCGCTCAAGCGACCCCCATTGGAGGAGCTACGTAAATGGAGCAGCCTAGATAGATACTTCCCATAGGACCGAGCAGGACGAGAAGGCTTTACAGGACCGAGCTGAGCAGGACGAGAAGACTTTTTGGGCTCCAGAAGATCCACACTCGCAAAGGGACTTTCAACACTCGCAAATGGACTATCCATACTCGCAAATGGATTATCCATACTCGCAAAGGGACTTTCCACACTCGCAAGTATCCTATCCACACTCGAGCCGTGCACTGCCGCTGCGTGCGGTCGCGCTACACGCGCTGCCCCGTGCCCACGTGCCCGGGCCCGCGCGTGCGCGCCAAGCGCCTGCGCCACCTGCCGCCGCGCTGGCACGACCTCAGCCCCGCGCTCAAGCGGCCGTTATTGGAGGAGCTACGTAAGTACACTTCCCACAGGATTGAGCAGGAAAGAAGGCCTATCCATACACGAAATAGCCTATACACACTTGAGCCGTGCCACGCGCTCAAGCGCCCGCTGCTGAAGGAGCTGCGTAAACATAGACACTTATAGATCTTACAGGTCAACTGAAGAGCCGGTCAAGCTAGCTAGTTCAACAAGAAAACCTTAGGAACTCGCTCATGCGACCGCCATAATTGGAGGAGCTACGTAAATGGAGCAGCCTAGATAGATACTTCCCATAGGACCGAGCAGGACGAGAAGGCTTTTTGGGCTCCCGAAAATGGCCTATCCATTCGCGCAAATGGACTATCCACACTCGCAAATGGACTATCTATACTCGCAAGTGGACTATCCACACACGCAAATGAACTATCCATACTCGCAAATGGACTATCCACACTCGCAAGTGGCCTATCCACACTCGAGCCGTGCACTGCCGCTGCGTGCGGTCGCGCTACACGCGCTGCCCCGTGCCCACGTGCCCGGGCCCGCGTGTGCGCGCCAAGCGCCTGCGCCACCTGCCGCCGCGCTGGCACGACCTCAGCCCCGCGCTTAAGCGGCCGCTGCTGGAGGAGCTACGTAAGTGGAGTAGCCTAGACACTTACAGGTCTTACAGGTCAACTGAAGAGCCGATCAAGCTAGTTCGTTAGCTAGTTCAGCAAGAAAACCTTAGCAACTCGCTCAAGCGACTACCATTGGAGGAGCTACGTAAGTGAAGCAGTCTAGATACTTCCCATAGGACCGAGCAGGACGACAAGGCTTTACAGGACCGAGCTGAGAAGGACGACAAGGCTTTACAGGACCGAGCTGAGCAGGACGAGAAGACTTTTTGGGCTCCAGAAGATGGACTATCCACACTCGCAAAGGGACTATCCATACTCGCAAATGGGCTATCCATACTCGCAAATGGACTATCCATACTCGCAAATGGACTATCCATACTCGCAACTGGCCTATCTACACTCGCAAGTGGCCTATCCATACTCGCTAGTGGCCTATCCACACGCGAGCCGTGCACTGCCGCTGCGTGCGGTCGCGCTACACGCGCTGCCCCGTGCCCACGTGCCCGGGCCCGCGCGTGCGCGCCAAGCGCCTGCGCCACCTGCCGCCGCGCTGGCACGACCTCAGCCCCGCGCTCAAGCGGCCGTTGTTGGAAGAGCTACGTAAGTGTAGTAGCTTAGATATAATCCATAGGTCTCACAGGTCAACCGAAGACCTGGAAGCTAGCTAATTCAGACGGACGGCCTCTGACACCTGCTCAAGCGCCCGCTGCTGGAAGAGCTACGTAAGTGGAGTAGCCTAGACACTTACAGGTCTTACAGGTCAACTGAAGAGCCGATCAAGCTAGTTCGTTAGCTAGTTCAGCAAGAAAACCTTAGCAACTCGCTCAAGTGACTACCATTGGAGGAGCTACGTAAGTGAAGCAGTCTAGATACTTCCCATAGGACCGAGCAGGACGACAAGGCTTTATAGGACCGAGCTGAGAAGGACGACAAGGCTTTACAGGACCGAGCTGAGCAGGACGAGAAGACTTTTTGGGCTCCAGAAGATGGACTATCCACACTCGCAAAGGGACTATCCATACTCGCAAATGGACTATCCATACTCGCAAATGGACTATCCATACTCGCAACTGGCCTATCTACACTCGCAAGTGGCCTATCCACACTCGAGCCGTGCACTGCCGCTGCGTGCGGTCGCGCTACACGCGCTGCCCCGTGCCCACGTGCCCGGGCCCGCGCGTGCGCGCCAAGCGCCTGCGCCACCTGCCGCCGCGCTGGCACGACCTCAGCCCCGCGCTCAAGCGGCCGTTATTGGAAGAGCTACGTAAGTACACTTCCCATAGGATTGAGTAGGAAAAATAGCCTATCCATCCAAATAGGCTGACTCGCAAGTGACCTATAGGTACTTGAGCCGCGCTATTTGCCGCCGCGCTGGCACGACCTCAGCCCCGCGCTCAAGCGGCCGTTGCTGGAGGAGCTACGTAAGTACACTTGTCACAGGATTGAGCAGAAAAAATGGACTATCCATACGCGCAAATGGACTATCCATACTCGCAAATGGACTATCCAGGCTCGAAAGAGCCTATACACACTCGAGCCTTGTCACTGCCGCTGGCACGACCTCAGCCCCGCGCTCAAACGGCCATTGTTGGAGGAGCTACGTAAGTGGAGTAGCCTAGATATATCCCATAGGTCTCACAGGTCAACTGAAGACCTGGAAGCTAGCTAATTCAGACGGACGGCCTCAGACATCTGCTCAAGCGCCCGTTGTTGGAGGAGCTGCGAAAGTGGAACAGCCTAGATACTTACAAGTCTTACAGGTCAACTGAAGAGCCGGATAATCTAGCTAGTTCAACAAGAAAACCTTCGCAACTCGCTCAAGCGACTACCATTGGAGGTGCTACGTAAGTGGAGAAGTCTAGATACTTCCCATAGCGTCGAGCAGGATGAGAAGCTGTACAGGACTGAGATGAGCAGGATGAGAAGGCTTTTTGGGCCTCCGAAAATGGCCTAACCATTCTGAAGGTCAACGGCGAGTTATGGGAGATTTGAATCCACCAAAAGCCCGGGGTCTTCCCACTACTGTTCTGTGGGAGACGTCTTGGAAACTAGACATGACCGCGACTCTTTTCGCAGTCATTCCGCCCTACACTGCGGGGCCTGCAAGCGTCCCTTTCCTTGTTGAGACCCGACAATGTATTCAAAAATTGTGTTCGTAACTAATTGATTATTCAGTTTGACGCGGAGCAAATATGTGGGACCCGGCGTCCTAAAAGCGTGCTAAATGAGCTGTTATATTAATTTTCAAATTCTTTGCAGAAATACCAAGCGAGCTCAGCAAGTGCTGCCTGGCGTGTTTCAAGCGGATCACCCGGCGGTTAGAATCTGCGGGCGAGAGCGCAGAACCTTCGGAGGAGGAAGTGTCCCGCTTCCGGGCACTCTTAAGGGAACACGGGACCGCTTGGGAGCGCGCCGGAGCGGCGGCCGGGAGGTCGCCGGCAGCGCTGAAGGCCTTCTACTTTACCTACAGGTATGTAGCTTTATGTGACTTGAATAGCCATGACACTACTGACATTTCAAGAACCATGTTGTTGACATTATAAACCAATAGGATAGTTGACCAGATGCGTTAGAAACACGCCCGCTACGCGTAAGGTAAGCTACTTCTTCTTAACCGCCTCTGTGGTCTAGTGGTTAGACCACCTGCTTCAGACGCAGAGGTCCCGGGTTCGATTCCCAGTGGGGGCAGAATTTTCTGTTCGGTTTGGTTGGTGGTAGGGCTTGTTCCAAGTCCGCCTGGCTAGCTACCACCATCTTACCTAAGTCTGTCGCCATAACAACAATGTTAACAGCATTGTTGTGTTCCGGCAGTTAGAGGTAAGATAGCCAGTTCCTCTGTGGTTGAGGATTCCGAGTGAAGCTCGCTTCCACCTTCGGCCTGATCATCACTTACCATCAGGTGAGATGCAGGCCAAGAGCTTCCTCGTTGTGGANGTGTAGAGGTCGGTGCGTATACCTGGATTACCTTCAACGAGTACCTTTTGGATACTCTGAGTATCAGGTATGCAACCCTGCTCGACACACTTCCGATGGTAATGATGTTGTTAATGAGGGACTTGTGGACGAGAAACCCGACACCACCTTGGGACAGTTGTTCGCCCTCCCGGTAGTAAAGCAGGTTGCCGGATTTCAGGGTTATCGTGTCCTCGCCCTCTCGCCGGACTTCCGATAGCCCTATAATACTCCATCGCAACCTACTTAATTCATCTTCCAGCTCTATAATCTTTTCGTCGGACCTCAGGGTGCGGATGTTGTGTGTTACGAGGGCCAGTTGTCGTTTGTGGTGGTAGCTATTCCTCCTCCGGGGATTCTTAGCACCCCCCGCCCCGTCGTCACCCCAACCGCTACCGTAATCAGGAACAACGGGGCTGCCGGAGACTGGGGGCCTGGTTTTAGCTCTGCCGTTCATCAGGGGGGGGAGTTGCCAATACTCGCCACGCTTGGCAGGCGGGTTGGCGAGCGCAGTTTTTTATAAGGTTTCGCACGTAGACGCTGCTGCCCATCTCGTGCTACAGGATTTAGTCGCCTCTTACGACACGCCTCCTGTTGGCGGTGGGGAATGGTATTCTTTACGGATAGTCATTAAATTAATGTAACTATTATAAAATTTCTTAACCAGTAAAAATTCCTTAGAAGAAAATATGAAAAGTGACTTTAGATGAATAAGTAATTGCTTGCTTCTGAAATATATTGTAGTAACGACGGAGAACTACGGAACCCTACACTGCGCGTGACACGACACGCACTTGGCCAATTTTTTATTTATAATCTAAACTGCGAATTTATCCCGCCAGTTGGCGTATTGTTTATTTCGTTTTATAAAAACTTATCATTTACATATTTTGCTAATTTTCATCAAAATACATTTCATTATAATAATTATCATCAACATAATAACCATCATTATAGTTTTTGTCTAACTTGTGACAGTTTGGTCCCAATCTTATATACTCAACGGGGCATGGTCTTCTTCCAATAAATCCAGCTGAAGACATAGCAATTAATGCAAAAATTAGAAGAAACTGGAAGTACTGGAACACCTGCATGTCTGCTTACAACTTATATGACTTCTTAACAGGTGCCAGTCGGAGAGGTTTCCACTAAAAAGAAAAGAACCAATTATTTTTCTGAATTAATTTTATACCCTTAACAATTAATAAGATTAAGCAATCTTGTTTAATATTCAATCGGTCAAATGCTAGCTTAGGGCCTCTATTAGAAGAGTTAAGAGCCCGTGAACCCCAGACCTCCATTATTTTATAAAAGAAAGAAAGAAAAGACATTTATTTGGTACCAAAAAATAAAAACAATAAGTAGGTTCAAAAATGAACTTAAAGAGCACTAAATACGTACATTGTCTGCGCATGCTCCCACCGCACACAGGGCAGAACAATGAACCATCATGAAGCTTGGCACGGGGTTGAAACTGTCAAAACTCTCTGGCTGATGAGGAAACATCGTCTAATTATTGCCCAAATGCTACAAAAAAATCAGCTTTTGCGGTATAAAGCCAGGAGTCCAAACTTCATGATGGTCCACCGTTTTTCCCTATGTTGGAGTACCTATGCGTTGCTGACAAACTTTAAATTTCTATAAAATAAGGATGTTCTAGGGTTCACGGGCTCTTTAGTCCACTCTTTCGCCATCTTCGAGAAGTGTCAAGTACTAGGCTATTCGTTGCTTAAAGGGTGACATCTTTTAAGTTACATAACTTGTATCATTGAACTAATTTTACAACTGTAGACAATTTTAGGTAATGTATTAAACAATAACATAATTATTATACAAACCTTATGAAGCTGTGATCCTCCTTGGTCGCCACTACCCTTGGAACTACTTTTTCTATAGTTTGCTTGGTTTTTTAAATAATACAGTGTTAACGTCCGCCCCGTCGAATTAATATTCTAGATATTGTTGCTAAAGTTGTATTGTTGTATTTATATCCATTGAATTTGCGGATAATGCGATCACAAAATTAAATAGCAAATATATAATAATAATCATTTTAGTTACGAACTACGTAAATATTACAATAACTGTGTAGGTAGACAATATTGTTCTAAGCTTAGCTTTTCCCGCGGCTACGCGTGGAGTTTATTTAGTTAGTCACACACACAAAGGTCGTTAAATTAATTAGCCTTTATTATTCTAAAGCATAAACAATTAAACAATAATACTGTTAAGTTTCATCGAGTTCCGTAGTTTTTCAGTGAAAGTGTGTAATGTGTAACAAACATCCTTCCTTTCACATTTATAATATTAAGGATACTTACTTACTTACCTACGAGTAGGTAATGTAGGTACCTAGTTGAGGAAGTAGAATAGGATTAGGTACCAAATTGATTAAATTTGACTGACGCATTACTAAAATAATTTAATTATAGTCTTTTATAATGCGAACATTGCAAACAGCTAGGGACTGGAATTCGCTGCTTGCTGCTGTTTTTCCCGAACATTATAATCCGGGCGAGAGTGATAGGCACTTAATAGTAGGGCAGATATATTAAGTAATGTACCATCCTAGACACTGCATCTAATACGATAGCGGTCTATTACCAGAGCCCCGATTACGGTAACTTTTAACGTCAACAATCCAGACACGCTTCTCGATTCTGCGATACGATTGGTCGTTCAACAGCGTACGTCAGCTGTTTTGACCAATCGTATCGCAGAATCAGAAACGCGTCTGGATTGTTGACGTTAAAAGTTACCGTAATCGGGGCTCTGCCTTGTTATGCATAAAATAATGCTTATGTCACTTGTAAATAAAATAGATCATAATTATTTTACTTTTTTTCAGTAAGTAAGTACGTAAGTACCTATTAAGTCCTTTAATAATATTAAATTAATATTATAATTTATCAAAATGGCCGCTTATACAGCTTTGAAATTTAAATTAGCATTTGAAAACAGATGTTTCTTCGTACCGCGCTAAAACTGTTTCGGGTCGATATTTTTATGTAGAGGTGAAAAAACTTATTGAATGAGTCATAGCGTCCAAATACAGTATGTTTTAGCGTCGTTTAACATAGACATTGGACCGGCAACTCCTAAACGAGTGAAGGTGGGCGAAGAAGATGACAGGAGGTAGGTTAAGGGCTCGCGCGCACGATTGTCTTTTGTCGCTGTGACTTTTTTTTCACCTGCATAAAGATTGTATGTAAAATGTAAAAAAGTTTTCCATACAATCTTTATGTCACCCACCACGTCGCTACGTGCTGGACTTCAAAAAAGTCACGGTGACAAAAGTCATCCGTGCGCGCGAGCCCTAAAGATGTCCAACACTGAAAGGTTCAGTCTGAACCACAACAATACTGAGCACAAAATGAGAGTAACTTTAAAATTGTCATTAGTTATGTCAGCCGAGAAAGTACGTTTTAATGTCTTACACAATTTCTCGACGTGTGAAGTCTGCTTTCTTTGCACATTCGTTTTTTGGATTGATATCTACTTAACATTAACTTGTAAATAATATACGAGTAGTTGTACTTTTTGTTCAAAATGTAAAGGGGCAGCCTAGGCTATAATGATTACAAGTAGTTAGTTAGGTTTTTTTAACTAAAAAATGCGCCGCACGCATCTGGAGATATTCTAAACATTCAATTGCTTTGTAGTAAACAAACGTTATTGTTAATTGAAGAGGAATTCCACCTATGCATCTGTTGTAAATAACGCCTAGGTTCTGTTTTAGCCAGTCTCGCCTCTCGCAACTAAGTAGAAAGAAGAAAGATTTATTTTGATTGTTTGTACTTATTGAATAGGCTCTGAAAGTAGGTAGGTACCTACTAAACCGATTTGAATAAATAATTTACTATTGCTATTACAATCTTACAATAATTCTGATGGACTCCACAGATGAGAGAGTATGGATGGACTCAGACGATTATGAAGTTCGCCGGGTCAGCTAGTCCTATTTCATAAAAATATTTTAAACGCTTAATCCGATTACGTAATAAAGTTTTTTTTTCCTTTTTGTAGTGTAGATTTTTGTTTAATTAATAATCATTTTCAAATAAAATAACTCATTACCATCACAACAGTGCTGCAGTGGGCTGAGTTTACCTACATCAAACGTCCTCACTGGTGAGCGCGTAAAAATGTCATAAAATGTAAAAATTATGACGGATTGTACAGCGCCCCTAGCGGAAAGGTTCAAGAACTATTTCATACATATTTTTAACGCACTCAGCCCTCATATGATTTTTGGGCCCTATTTTACGCGGGCAAAGTCACAGAATTTGTAAGTAACATAAAAAGGGTGACGATGACGTCGTCTGTAGGGAGTGGACGCAGTTTTAGCCGAAAAGCCAAAAATATCCCGCGATGCATGTAAAACGGAACCAAACAAAATGCAAAACGAATTGGAACAGAAATATGGCGAACGACAATAAATTACGGCTGTTTTTGGAAAAACGAGTTTAAGCTCTTACTTTGGTCGATAATTTCTTATTCGTTAATTTATTTTAATGCCTTTTCTGTAAGCAATATTTCATTAATAAATTGAGCTTTAGGTAAAAGTAATTATTTATTTTCTTTAAAACTTTTAAACATAGTTATTAATGTGCAAACTTAT